CATCTTGGCGGCCGCCGCCATCTTTGCTTCCCCCCGCCGGAGCCGGGCAGGAGCAGCGGCGGCAGCAGCGCAGACCCCGCCATCTTTTCGGGGGAGCCGCCATACTTGCGCTGGCGATGAACATGGCGGCGCCCATCACACACATCAAAACATGGCCTCCCTTCAAAACAAAACCGTCCGGCCGAGCCCGCGAGCCGCCGGCGGGGCCCGCGGCGCGGGCAGGGCGGGCTCCGGCGCTCACTTACCCGAGGCCCACATGGTGACCGAGAACTCCCCCTCCAGGGTCTTGATCTGCACCTGCTTCTGCTCCCATTTCCTGCCGCCGCCGCCCTCGGCGCCGCCGCCGCCTCCCCCGCTCAGGTAACTCTTCTTGCTGCTCTTCTTGCCGCTGCCGCCCTTCTTCACGCGGCCGCCGCCGCCGGCCGAGGAGGAGCCGCCGCCGCCGCTCTTGCTGCCGGCGGCGGCCACGGTGACGAGGGTCTGCTCGATGTACTCGTCCTCGCCGGCGGGCGCCGGCACCGGGATGAGGATCTGGTCCTCGAAGCCGTCGTCGGCGCGGAGCCCGTCCGAGTCGTCTCCCCCCACCACCTCCTCGCGGGTCTGCACCAGGATCACCTCCTGGTGGTGGTGGTGCAGGTGGAGCTGCCCCCCGCCGCCGCCGCCCGCGCCGCCGCCCGCGCCGCTCGGGTCCCCGTCCGAGACGAGCGGCTGGAGCGCGATCATGGGCTGGTGGTGGTGGTAGTGGTGCGGCGGGTGGTGCGGGCCGCACTCCTCGCAGCACTCGTCCTCCTCCTCCTCCTCCTCGTCCTCCTCGCCGCCCACCACGGTGGTCTCGATGGTCTCCACCGGGATGGTCTCCACCTCGATCTCGTGCAGCTCCACGATCTCGGCGGGCATCTCCGAGCCGTCCGTGGCGATGTAGAGCGTGTCTCCCGAGGCCATGGCGGGGCGCGGGGCAGGCGCGGCGCTGCGGAGGGGACTCCGGGGCGCTGCCCTCCGCGGATGGCGGGGCTCGGGCTCCTCTCGCTCCCCTTCCTGCGCCTCCTCCTCCCCCTTCCACACAAACACCAGCTCCTCGCAGCCAGCCGGGGAGGGAGGAGGGAGGGAGGGAAGGAGGGAGGGAGGCAGCCGCCAAATCCCGGCTACGCGCCCTCGCGAGACTTCCGCCGAGACGGACCCCAGCCCCGGGAGGCCGCCGCCGCCGCGACCCCACCCTCCCGCCCGCGCGGCGACCAATTGCTCCGCGCTCTGCAAGTCGTGCCCCGCCCAGGCGAGCGCCACGGCCAATAGCGAGGCGCCGTGCATGGGCGGCCAGCCCTCACGCCCCGCCGCCCGCCGGTGAGCGGCCAATGGGACGGTGGCAGCGAAGCCCCGCCCTCCTCTGCGCTCGCCCCACCCAGCGCGGAGGCGCCGCCCCCCGGCCGTTGGGGAGCGCGGCCGCCATGAGCTGTGGCCTGTTGTTCAGGATCGCGCGGCTGTCGCTGTCGCCCCCCGTCGTCTCCTTGTAGCAGCTCGGGCCTCCCGCAGGTAACGGCAGCCCCGTGCAGAGACCCCCTGCGCTAGACTGGGCCCTGCTGCAACCGGGTCGCCCTGGGCCGCGGCGGGTGCTCCGGGCTCCGCAGCCGCCGCGGAGCGGGCCGCGTTTCACCGGGAGGGGCCGGGCCCGCCGGCGGTACCGCCCGGGCGGCCAGGGAGTGGAAGTCTGGAGATGCCCTCCTTCCAGCGGTGCTCGGCGCTCTCGTTTTGGCTAAAACGCTTTTGCTGCAGGAGAGACGTAAACAGGAGCTGCGCGTAAGCTTCAAGAGGGAAGAAATAAACTATAAAGGATATTAAAACTGTTATTTTAAAGGTATATTTCTCCACATTATGCTCAACTGTGGAAAAAATAACTTTGTCATCTGTTTACCCTAGACTCTTACTGCTGTCAATGCAAAAAGATGGCAAAGTTACTCTTTTTTACCAAATTAACTAATTACTAATTACTCATAGGATGCACATGACTGAATGTGGTAGTTGTGTGGGACCTGATTGTTTTAGGTGAAGCTTGTGTGTGTGTGTGTGTAAATGAGCTTTGCCTGCTAACAGATTCACACTCTCTCATGTTTGTGAATGCATGCTTTTTTTTTTCTTTCAGTCCAGATCACATCAGTCATGGCATTTTAACGGCTTTGTATAACTCTGTTTATTTTTATAGCTCTGTTTTTACTGTGAACAATGTGTAACATTTTCAAAACAACTTTGAACAGAAAATTTGTAAGCATAAGAATCATATTATTTTGAATATTAGGAGTGTTTTCTGTTTTTTCTCCCACTGTTTGGCTTAAAGCCAATATTTTGCTACTACATTCACAATTCTATTTTTTGTTAACAAGAAACATTATGTTGAAAGATTCTTCATCAGTGGTTTACCTGTTACAAAGTCTTCATACTGAATGTGCTAGTTTTCTTAACTAGCATATGATATTTTTTCAGTAGCCATGAGGATTAGACATATATCATTATTCCAGTAGCCCAAACAAAGACAAATGTATCAACAAACAAAAGCAGTGGCGTGAAAGCTGCCAAGTGTGGCATTGTTCAAAACAAAGTCTCATCCTCCCCGTGTTTCCTCTTTATCCAAATGGCAACAGAAGCTACTCCCAGGATATCCCGTCTTCCTGCCCTGCACGCTCCATTTTGCTCCTTATCCTCAGAACTTTGGCGTGTTCATTGCTGTCTTTCAGAAGTGAGGAGTAAAATAATTTAAAACTTCCTACCTCATGACATTTTTTAAGCTGGGCAAAGAGGAGAGGGAAGGTCTTTGCTACAAGCATTTGATGGGCTTTGTGGTTTGCTGGCCATCTGAGCAGCATCACCTGAGTGGGAGAGCAGCACAGTCTAATGCAGGATTTCCTCTTAAACTTGCTCACTCTTCCTGTGCATCTGAAAACCTTTCATTGGACATGAAAATCATTTTAAAGATGTCATAGCATCTATTTTTTTTTTCCAAATGAAAAACAATCTTTACAAGCTGTTGATGTCTCAGATTTAGCTGTGTTGTTTCTTTTCTGGTTCCTTAAAATCTGCTTAAGTAAATCATAATCTCCCATCAACCAACCAATTTTTAACTTTTCATGCACACCCAGTGGTGTTTTCTCTGTTGTTCTCCCTTTTCACTGCAAAATTCCAGATAATAATTTCAGGTCCTGAGCGTGCCTAACTGAGAGAGGAAACTTGAATCGTCTTTCTCTTGACAAGTGCAGCTTCCCTTATCTGCCTTTCTTCAACAGTCGTGTGGGTGGGGGCAAATTGGGAGATTCAAAGAGCTATTTTGCAAATCAAGCTCAAAGCTGGGTAGTAGCTCTATCTTGTAAAAGAAAGCTCTAGATTAGTGAGATCTCTTCATTTTAATTTTGGCACTCAGCCTTATAAGGAAATAGTGTCATCAACATATACCTTACCTACCAGCAATATCTACTACATTAGAAAAAAAATGAAGTAGGTAGAAAAAAATACCAGCTTGAGTTGGAATATTACTTTAGAGTTATTTTATATTCCTGTAAGAATTAGGAGGAAAAGTTCTGGCCACCATTTCCTTACACACAGATGACATATGAATTATTTAAAATTTGTATTTTAAGTTTGCCATGAAAGATACTAAACTTGTGCTTTTAAGCAAGAGTAGTTGGTCTTTTTAATCTTTTTAGTTTTGCAGAGTCACAGAGTAGTTGACAGTGGGAAAAACATCAGGAGAGTGTCTAGTCCAAACTAGAGCAGACCAAGTTCAGTTGGGCTTTTAAGTAGCTCCAAGTATGGAGATTTCACAATCTCAGTTCTAGCATTTGAGCACCCTCACAGTGAAAATCAGAAGCATCAGTCTTATTTTGCATCTATGATTTTGTACCATGAACCAAACGAAGCGACAGCAGTTCCTGCTCAGAGCCCTGCTCTGGGTAGACTCAGCCAGTTGGTTACGTTGGGCTGCGCACAGGAAAGGAGGTCTCCATGCTCGAAGCGCTGACGTGTCCACCTTTAGAAGGACTTTTACAGCTCTTGCACATAGAGCCACAGCGGCAGCAGCAGGCAGCGTTCAGCACTCAGAGCCGTTAGTAACTCCATCAGTACTGTGCTTTGTCCTATCCTGTGTTTGTGGTATGTCTGTAGTAAACTATTAGTTCAGAGCATCCAGAAATCATAGTTGCCACTGCTGTACTAACCCAGTCTTGTGTGTAATATTCTGGTGTCTGATGTTCGTTGCAAAAACTGGGATATGTTTCATGCTTCACGAGTAACTGATTTGGCCCTTATCTGAGTTGCGTCAAGCCAACTAGGTAACTATTCTTCTAAGCAAGAGTTAGTTGGCAAGTATAAAGTCTGTTACCCTGTGAGAAAAGGGAGGTCACACAAATATTATTCTTGAACAAAGTAAGAAAGCATGAACCAAACAGAAGAATTTCAAATTGTTTACTATAACACACTTTTTTCCCCCGTTTTCTTCTACTCACCCTATCAAATTCACTGGTTTGGAAACTTCTGACACAACCTTTTTTTTTTTTTTTCTTCCCCCTTCCGTCCAAACTATTTTGTTGAATGTTTGAGAGAGGAAACATTCACCCTTCCCATGTAAATCAATATAGACTGTTACACTGGTGATGGTTCCATGTCTAGCTTTGTGAGTGTGTGACATAAGTAGTTCTTAAAATATTTTCACTCTTCTGCTTTATGCATAAAGAAGATCAGAGGCACTTACCAGAGGAAAGAAAATCAGTGTTGATAACACAGGGTTCTCTTTCTCTATGTCGTTAATGCCTATAACTAAGACTAATGAATAGGTTCTGCCGATTTTAGGCTTCAGCTTTTACATGTTATTTTCCCTTTGAAGTGGCTTAAAAATTGATTAAAACAGGAGAGGTCTTAAAAATAAGTAACAAAAGAGAAACCTTAGAAAAAAAATTAATTTGGGATTCACAACACTATTAAAATAATCCTACTTAATTAAAATACTAAGAGAAGTGTGGAATTAGCAATTGACTATGGCACCTCTTCCTGGAATCCTCCTGTCTCTTTCCTGTTCTGCAGGAAATGCTTTTCTTGCTTCAACCACAAGATCCTTCCTAATTTAGACTCATCCTCCCTGCTGATGGGATCTCGCTTCCACCACCCTTTATGGCCCCTCTAGTGGCTTCTTTCATGAACAGTCTTGTTGTCTCCCCTCTGACTGTTAATTAAACATGGGGGAAATCCCTGATTTGATTTCTATGTAGTCTCCCCCAAAACTCATTTAAGCGCTTGCTATGGCCATAAGGTTCTGTCTGCTGACCATGCCACAAGGGGGGGAGCTCTCTGTGCACCTCTTTTCTCGGACTCTTTTTTTTTTTTTCTGGTACTTTTAGTAATAGTTGTTTTCCTTACTATGTCACAGCCTCCTTCAGATCCCCATTTAAAAACAAATTGAGCAGCTAACAAAGCTGCGCCAATTAATTTTCCTAGATTTATGGCTCTCCCCCTCCATTTGTCATCTGCTCATGTCTTTGAGGGGGAAGGATTTTCTCGTATCTGCAGAGAGGGAGAGGGTTTGTGCTGCAACCACTGCAAACTAATATTCAGATTACAGTCAGTAATCACCCCAGGCTCATTAAACAAGTGTTGGTGCTAGGACAAGCACATATCGTTTCTTGTTCTTCCTGTTGAAAGAGTTTTTTCATGAATCAATGGAAGTCCTTGTTTCAGGCATATTTAACCCTTTAATTGTGCATGTAGAATATAAATAAGTATTATTGAGCTGTTAAGATGACCATCAGCTATGAAAATTCATGTGAACGCAAGTCTTAACCACTCTTTCTGGACCACGACCAGCAAGTAGATCTGTGACTGCTACTCCTGCCTGTTGCTCGTTACAAATAGCCAGACTTCCCAGTGCTCTCCGAGTGCATGGATTTGTTTGGATTTGCACATTCCAGAGCTACTGCTGCAAAGTGCCGAGCTCTCAGCTTCCCCTGAGCTCCCTGGATATGATAGATCCTGGTAGCACTTGGGAGTAGCCCTAAAGTTACTGTGACATTAGAAAAGAAAAATCATCACAGGTTGAAGTGAGGAAGAGTAAGTAATTACAAGTTAATAGAGTGTATCAATTATTGCAGTCTCAAAGAAGACCTGTGGGCAGCAGTTTATTAAATAAACCTACCTGGCTTTCTACAATATTCTGCAGCACTGCAGTTCTACAGTATTCCGCAAACCTGCAACATTCTGGAGTATACAGTGTGTCTCTTCCATCTTTGCTGATTTGATAAAATAAGAGTACAAAAACTCATACTCCTTAGGCATAAGCACTGTTCCTCAGTGCTGCTTCTGGTGGATCTCACTGAGGAAAAGATTGTCAAGTTGACTTTGTGTTTTCACAGTAGAATCCCTGCCCGTTGCAGGGAGATCCTGTGTGCTGCTGCAATAGAAACACTGAGTAAAGATACTTTTTTTTTCCAAAGGGAAAAAAAAAAAAAGAAAAAAGGAAAGAAAATCTCACAATATAACAATCTTCAATCTTATAACAA